TGGAGACTATTTCATTTAATACATGTTTTGTTTTGATATATAAGTTGTTCGGGTTTTTTCATACTAAAAAAAGGTGTTAAAGAGGACATCAACATGTTTTTTGCTTCAAAGCCAAGTGATTTCTTTAATCAGGGCATTAACAACCTGATTGTAGGATGGAAAAGCATCATTGATAAGAATGGAGACTATTTCATTTAATAAATGTTTTGTTTTGATATATAAGTTGTTCGGGTTTTTTCATCTAAAAAAAGTGACATTAATTTCTTGATGAACTAATACATGTAATTGCAGTATTTAACCCTAATAATCTTGCTATTCTTAACTATAAAATTATTACCCCATTGGCTTTTAAACACATTTCTCAAAATAAGTATGCATCAAATTTCTTGTCACACCATGGCATTTGTTAGTTATGGGTCTCTAATAACATACACATTAAACAAAAAACTGTAAACAAAAATAGTTTATCAGTATTGCAGTTAATCCTACTGATTACGGCTCTGATCTATCATGTACCTTTTACTTAAAATAAAAGAATAATTTTACTTTTATATTTGTAAGTAATTTCTTTCCTATATTGTCATAATAGTCTTGAACATGAAACTACTCAATATGGTGTAATATTTGGAACCCATTACTAATGAACTGTATACAAATAATTTCTTAATTTGAGAGTTGACTGCTAATTAAGATATGTATAATTATACTGTATATTTATTTTTAATGTAACATTTTCCGTTTTTTTTTTTCTTTATAGTATTATTTAAAGGAAAACCACAATTATAATTTGTAGGTCAGGTGTTATTGGATAATTTTACTTTCTTTAGAAATTTATTTGTGGATAAAATGAAAGTTTGTTTTCTGAGGAATTTAAAACAATGTGAAGTACCTGGGAAACCCATTTGATATAAATATAGTCCCACATTTGACACCATTTAGTCAAATTAGTTTAATCTATTTTTGAAACAAATATAAATGTGTTTAATGTATTGATAATTTGCTGTCATAAGCAAATTTTGTATCTTTTTTTTTTTCTTTAGGTTGCAAGCAGAGTCCAAAAATATTTTATTAAACTTGCAAAAGCAGGATTACCTGTACCAGGCCGATTACCTAATGTAAATTCTCTGAGAAAAGTAAGTTTTTTTACATATATTTTATGTTAAATTTCACAAAGCTCAACCTCTTTCCCTGCTAGAGAAGAAATATCTGGCTGATGTAATCATCAAATTAACTATATTGTTGGAGTCATACTTACTATTCTTGTACAGAAGAGCAATATGAATTAGTGAAAACTTTGTTGAATTGCATATTCTGTTAATATAAGTACCTGTAAATCTGTAGCATTAATACGTTTAAGTAATTTTCAATGTTTTATTTCATCTGTGTATGTAAAGGGTAATATGAAAACCTAATCACACTCTTGGGTTACATGCTTTAATTGAGACTAGACATTAGTCCCGTTATATCATTTAGCCAACGCCAAATTAATGTTTATTTTAATTTTACTTATATATATATATATATACACATATATGTGTGTATGTGTAGTGAGAGTATATTTTAATTTAGCAAAACATGCACAGTCTCTTTATTGAAAGCCAAACTGTTTCATTGGTTTTTGATGAATTAGTTACGTCATAAGTGTTGTTAATACAGGAATGCTAACTGACTAACAAATATCCAACTGTTGTGTTGTTGAATTTTATGCAAAGGTAATCAAAGGCTGTCTGCACAAGCCATTAATATTTTTTTTTCACTGTGGTAATGGGGTGCAAACCTTGGTATGCTAACCATTGGACTCTATGTGGATCTTTGTCTTTTGTGCAATTACAAACAATTTCTAGTCTCAAAATGGGAATATTTGCACAAAGTAGGAATATTTCTTGAGTTAATTATAAGGCTGAATTTATACTGCTATGAGATTAGCCAACAATTTGAAGTGATTGGTGCTGTCATGACTCCTGTTGGCATTCATACTGGTTTATACTGGAGTGATTGTTGTCATCATGCCTCCTTTTGACATCCTAATTATTCATACTGATTGATACTGCAATTATATTAGCCATCAGTTCCCATCATGACTCCTGTTGACACCCTCTTTATTCATTACTGACATATACTGTTGTGAGACTTGCCAACATTTTGGGTTGTTTGGTGCAATTGTGACTGCTGTTGATACCCTCAGTATTTATACTTCTATGAGATTAGCCAACAGTTTGGAGCAATTGGTGGTGTCATGACTCCAATTGGCACCCTTGTTACTCTTACTAAGTATGTTATGAGATTGGCCAACGACATTCCTGTTTATCTGTCATTATAAGCCAATAACAACACATATTTGCTACAGTATATACATTTATATTTCTTTGCATAATATATGTAAATTTTTTCTCCATCATTAAGCAGTATAACACATTATTATAAGTTATGATGTTGGACCTCTGCATTTATAGTCAGAGTGGATTGTTCAAGTATTCTTAGTCAGTAAACAGATAATTTTATTTTTTTAAAACAGCTGAAACTAACAGAAGAGTCATCATTGATTTCACTTGTGGCATCTCCATCTATGCTGCTTGGTACTGAAAATGTATGAATACTGTTTTGGTCATCATCTTGGTCATTCATTAATACAGGAGGAGCATGGGAAGCAAAGAACGATGACTTGAACATAAGACGTGCTTGTTGCCGACTATACTGATTTCTCCTTGATGAAGTCTGAAATGAAACAATATTTACAGTTATTGGTCAGAAGTGTTTGTCAAAATTATAAGGAATTTGTTAATTTGTAGCTAAATTACAAAAACTAATTTGGAAAATGGCTTACAAGTATTAAAAGAACATGAAAATTAATTCAAATTGTAGTATTATTACAAGTTTAGGTCACAAAAAATAAAAAATTGACATAGCAGCACTTAGAATATGCTGTAAGTAATCTTATTACCTTTTTCATAAACAGTATTATAAATCTGTATGAATAACAAGGGTGTCAACAGGAGTCATGATGGTAACAATCACTCCAAATTTTTTTCATGTTTTAAACAATAATTAACTGACATAAGCTTACTTCATTGTTATAGTGATTAAAAGTTTTGATAATAGACTAATATTTCAAAATTAGTTAAAATATAGCAGTAGTATATCCCATGACTTCTGTAGGTTGAAATAAAACATAGAATTTGTACATTAGCATCTTTTAACAACTAGAATCAGAATTATTCAATCTTTTATATTTCAAATCTAATTACAAGTCCTAATCTTGATATTGTGAATTTGGCTTTATACTGATTGAGTGCTGCTTCTTTGATTTAAGTGTTTCATTATCTTACAGGATGAAGAAGGAATTCCTCCAGAACTAAAAGATACCCCAGAGTACAAGGAACTGATGTTATTAAAACGTTTGAAAAACGAGAGACTGAAATGTCAAGGGTTAGCACAACATATAGGATTTAAAGTAAGTTAAATGTAAAAAAAATAAATAGGAAATTCATTTTATATTTTATGCACTGTATATTTAATTTCACTTAAGTTTAATTATAAGCTTTAACCACTTTCTCAGTAACATATAGATAGAATTTAATGAAGTACATTAACTATAGAAGTACTATAACTTCTTAAAATTTGTATCTGAAATAGCAGTGTATTTGGTTGTTCTACTGCATGTAATATTCTTCCTGATGGGTAGATCTGTATGGTAATGATTATTTATTAGACAAAAACTTCTGAGATTTAAGATCAGTTCATTGCTCATTTCATTTAACAAGTTATTGGAAAAAATTCAAGGTTTGTTCTTAGAATTTTAAAACTGTGTGACTGTTTGAAACATAGATGTTTTCAAATGTAATAAATCTAACTGTCTACCTTGTAAATCAGAACTGAAACTCGTACCTTTTCTTGTGAAATATTAAGATATAAGAATAGTGTATAGTCATTTGAAATTATGCTGCTTTTAACTTTTCACCTTTTGTTTTTATAGTGTGATCGTTGCAAGTGTGAGCCAATTATAGGCACTAGGTGGCACTGTACAGATTGTCCTTCAGAAGCTGCAATAAACTTATGCAATGACTGTGTGGATTGGTATGAGTATTAAATCTGTATTTCTAAACCAAAAATGATAAACAAATGACTGGTGCATTAATGTAAAGGGTTTGAAGTTTGTTGTATTTATAAAATAATACAAGTTAAATATTTTATCAAACTCATGGCTCATACTTTGCTATTTCAACTGATAACTTGATAATTTTAATATAAAAGTGTGTATTTGTGATTACAAATATAATAATTGATTTTTTCTTTTCTCTGGTTTCTATGTGTTAAATGACAGTAGTAGACAACTAGAATTTTGTTTTAATGTGTCACATTTTGGATTAGACATATTGAATTTTGTTAAATTTGTGTAATAATTGAAAACACTAAAAGTAGACACTCCTTGAAGGCACTAAAATCTTAATTTCAATATATAAGAAGCTTTAATTTTTCATGTTTGTGACTAACAAGATTAGTCTGCTCAGTTGGATGCAGTTTATTACAATGTATATGACATTTTTAAACAGTGTACATAGAATACTGAAGCTTTTGTTCAGAAATAATACATTAATGTCAATTTTAGTTTCTGTTATGTCTTCCACCATATCAATTTATGGTGGTCTATGTTCACAGAATTAAAGATTACAAAAACTATTTTAGGAATTTTTTGTTTTTTTTGATTTAATGGTTTAATGTATGGTTAAAAAAAAATTTTAAATGATTCCAGTATTCATGAAACTGACGTGCACAAAAGTGACCACCACCTAGAATCGATACAACATGCTCAAAGCTCGGCCACATTGGATAAAGATTACATGTATTTCATGGGAGGAAACTACAACTACCTGGATCCTAATTATATGCCAGCAACCTAATTCTTAGTCATTTATGTTGAAAGAAGATAAAATATTTATTGTATTGAAATTTCATTTTTGTAAATTCTAATACAAAAGAAAACATTTAATGTGTGTGCATGTGGATTTTTTTGTAGAATCAAGGTATATGTCACACATCTGCAGCTCAATGCACATTTATTCTTGATACCTTCTATTACTTTTTAATAATTTAAGATATGTTAACCCTGCATTAGTCTTCCGAGGTCTACACAGACCCCAAACATATTGTAAACATCAGCTCAGACAGATGGAAGCACATACATGTTTGTTGTTCTCAGTAGCTTCAGTATTCGGCTAGTTTGTGTTAAATTGTTACACTTAGTTTAGGTGGTAAAAAAAAAAACTTGTAATAATCAATGTTCATTTATCAATTATTAAAGAAAAAATTTTGATTGTTAGTGTTTTTTTGTTTGCAAAATAATAGGTTATTATTATTCATTATTATTATTTAAATATTTTGAAATTAATTTTTTATCATTGGGTCTGCTACAACCCTGGAAGAATGACTATGGAAAATTTTTACAGAAGACTAACGCAGAGTTAAACTTTTTGCATTAGTGCTTTTATTCACTTAATACTTTTAAAACATTATCAATGTAAATCTGTCAGTGTGGATTGTCAAGTTATGAGCAGTTTCATTAATTGATTAATTCAATACACTGAATACATATAATTTGACACTTTAACCTTCTACTTTGGTCATCTTCAGGTTTAGACTATCATTTTAAAGTAGGCTAATTTGAGCTTATTCAGAGTTGGTTTCTAAATGCATAATGTAACAACATTGATGTAGTAGCAGTAGTATTGATGGAAAAAAAACAGTGATGGGAGCTAGGAAAGAAGAAATGTATGTGAAATAATTAAATATGCATACATACAGATGAGCAACAATTAGACATTTTATCACAGACACCACTTAGCTATAAAAATCCATGTCTCCCAGTTTTGTGTTTAATACTATTCTAAAAGTATAAGCTTTGGGTTCAGAATGGGAAAAATCTAAACATTACTTGTTTTTAGTTCACCAAGATAGTAATATTAACAAAAAACTTTAAGAAGCAAAGTTGATCATTAACCATGAATAAAAAAAAATATATTTTTGTCAAATTAGTATCTTTCTCTGCACATTATGGTTGATTGAATGACTGAATCCAGGTCAAATTCAGCATCCTGTTTAATTTAATATAAAATTTTCTGCAAGAATATGCCTCCAGACTCCCTAAAAAAAGGGAAACTGTTTTGTTACTCATAGAATTTTACCACATGTTAAAAGAGATTTCTAAAAGTTGGCATCTCATCTCTGCATTCATGTAGTTACAAGTTAATGCTTTAAGATACATCAAGGAGTATCTCAGTCTTGCATACTTTCTTTTAAAACCATTCTCATTATTTGATACAACATCGAAATAAATAATTGTGAATTTGTTGTCACTATTACTATTAATACAGTGACATTCCCACAATATAAATTTCAATTCATAGGCAGAACAAAAGTATGTAAAGGGCAAATATTACAATACTGCCTTTTGTGACATCTATATCTATTAGTGACAAAACTATGAACAAAGAAAGTACAGGGTATAGAAAAATTAGGATGTGACCAAAGGTTACAACATATTTAGCTTACCCGGTAAGAAATAACTGAGATAAAAATGCCCCTCACTAGCTTAAGGGTAAGTCTGAGGCCTTATATCACTAAAAATTTGGTTTCAGTACCTGCAGTAGGCAAAGTGTGGATAGCACATTGTATAGTTTGTTGCCTAACAACAAAAAGTATATTAAGCAGGGTACTGGGAAGTTTAAAAAGTCAGTACTCAATACTAAAATGAACAGCATTTATGGACAAAGATTATAATAGTTTAATAATATCTGGAGGAGTTTTGTGCTATTTCCGCTGGGCAGATTTTTGTTTTTATATGAAATATTCTATATATCACTGTTTGTTTCTCAATAAAAATAATGTTCAGTATGACTAATAACACTGTCTCTTAGAATCAACAAAAATCTTCAACTCCAGCATTTAAAGATTGTGAATTATATGCATGTGTGTGAAGTGACTTAATTTTCTTCTAGCTGAAAGTATACATTTCACCACTGGGCCAGGTATCTCTAGTGGTTAGAGTTGCCTGGCTGCTTATTTTCAGTTCCAAGACTAGTGAAAATATCCCATAAACACACTGTCAGCTGTTGAGACATTACAAATGTAATACTTGCTCTCACTAGCCCACTCTCCCAATGGATACTTCATTAACCATGATGGGCTCAGCATAGATAGCCCATTGTGTAACTATGTTCTTAATTACAAACAAAACTCTACCACTATTGACTTAAGGGTAGTTGTGTAGGTGGTCAGTGCTGCTGTATGGTTGTCTTTCCTCTGGTCAAGAGTTCTAAGAATGATCAGGTCACATAGATTGTAACATTCTGGATCAAAAATGTATTATCATGTGCTTGTATGTAATGAACCTACTATACTGAGTCATTGGATTACTTGTTTTTTCTGATGTTTTAATGTTAGGAAGTTCCAGTTTTATTTCTTTGCACATACAACTTTTTGTAAGTTTAAGCAAATAACCATCCAGGAATAAAGTTTATTTTATTATATCACAGTATTCATATATATATACTGATACATAAAATAATTTCTACTGCAAAACTGATATGAACCACAAATAGTTAGTTAATAATATTTTTAGTTGACTGCTAAATATATTACCAATAACCCTTTTATACGTGTTTTAGCCTGAACACTCATAATTAATCTTTTTGTGTATTATTAAATTTCTCCAAACATTAGTGATTCTCATTTCCAAAGTTACTGATTAAGATAGACCTCATGACTACGTAAATCTGCTGAAAACAGTTTTGCCATGCTCCTGTTCATCATTAGCATTTAATATATTTTTCTGTATTACAAAATTTTGTTTGAAACTTGAAATAGTGTCCATTTAGCAACCACAATTAACAAAATTAATCATATTTTTTACTAAAATAAAATCAACATAAGAAAACATACTAAAAAAAGGCAACAAAACTACAGAAATAATTTCTGGAGTATAAATATGAGTCTGGTGTCTAAACTTTTAAGGCATTATTGCAGCACACTTTGAAAATAAAGAAAATTTGTTCATTTTTCATCTGCTTCAAATTTGTTTGAGAGAAACATGCTTAAAATACATTTGTTTTTAAAAGAAAAGAGATACAAGGATAAAACTATAATATACAGTGATCAAGAATTTATTTATGGACATAATTGCATACTCAGCTGTATAAATTAATATAAAAATAAATTTATATTTACTTTGTAACAGTTAACACAAGACACTTCACATCATATAACGTCACATAGCATAAAAACAACAGTATATTATGCAAGAATATTAGAATCTGAGAGCATGATCCAATCCTATGCTGAAAACAGATAAATGGTTTTATGATGGGAAAACATATATAATAACACTATATACATATCTTCACTAAACCTTTAAATGCTTTATATTTTACACATTTAACACAAAAGTAAATAGAAAAACAGTTTTCTTATCATTAAAATTAACAATATTTTGTATATTCCTTAACTGAAAGGTATTATGTTATTATTACATCAGGCTGCAACTTAATGAATTCAATACTTATTAAAATTGGTTCAGCAGTACTTCCATGTAGCTGTTAATAACTAAAGGTGTTGAAGTCTAAAACAAACTTATGTTACTGACTTTCACATATCATACAACACCCTCTCCACTATAGTTTAAGGTGTAATCTTAATTGTTTTTTTTGGGAACATAATTACTTAAAACCGCATTTTTCGTGATAGAATCTTTTGGTAAACATCTTCATCCAGTGGAGTGTACTTTACAGTCTTTGTGTTAAGGTAATACAGAGGATCCTTCACCACCTTCAAGTCATATCCTTCATGTTGCAGATTAATTTTCTTGAACTTGTATGTGCCTTACAGAAAAAAAAAGAAATGGTATTTCAAGTTTTTTACGATCATTTCTTTCCCAAACTTGAAGTAAAAAAAATGGTCATGTTGTACTTTTAAAAAAACTGTACTCTATATTGCAACTTCAATGGGATTATTTTGGAATTTTAAAGGTGACTTACTGGGTTTGAACTGGACCCTTTAAATTCTATTTGGAAAAAAAGAAGGAGGGCCCTCAAATTTTTCATAAAAAAAATAGCTAAGAAGAATATGTAAGTTAATGTTAAACACTAATCATTCATAGTTTAAGTTTACGCAATCAGTAAATTTCGGAAACACAGAAGTCCTCAACAAAAATACTGTCATGTAAATCCTTTTCAATGCACATCATTACTGGTAGAATTAACACACATTTTAATGTGATGGCAATAGACAAATAATTATTTCTCTATTATGCTAGCAGAGCAATCTTTTTTTTTTTTTAATTGCTATTTCAAGGAGGTCCAATCAGAAATTTTCCGGGTGAGCTTGTCTGCCCCTCTGATTTACAGACACTTTATATTATAAAGTATTGGTTAGTTACTATAGAAATGGAAATAAGTACACTGCAAAAATCTTACTTGTTTAGAGGTTTATGAATTTATGAAGACTTGCATATGTTTCTCATTTTTCCAAACACTAAAATAGGTAATCTATATAAATAAATGTCAATATGTGTGTATCTGTTCCTTATACATTTCTTGATCAATCAGTGTCAAACTTAACACACCGATACATGAGGGAAGTGGACCCCCTCCCCCCAATCTAATTTCAGATTGATAGAATTCTTGAAAACACTATGCCTTTCTTTTCAGTATTGGTACCTTTATGTATTTTTATTACACTTTTAATGTTTATTATGAAAAAAAATAGAAGCACAATTTCCTATCCTTTGTAACAAATGAATTTACATTTCATCCATCCAATGGATGGATACTTCAGCTAGTGTGTCCAAATAATAAATATTTCCAGTCTGACATTATTTGTCCATCTTATTTACGTAGGAGTAAATAGAACATTCTCTTCAAAAGGTACTCATGGACTAGGACCGAAAAACCTATGTAATAAATATTAAGCAGTACCCATTTATTCATTAACTACATTGCTCAAGAAAAGATCTTTTTATCATAATAAAGTACCAGTACGTAGTTTGAATTCTGAGTAACTCTGACACGCAAACACACTTAAACCCTTCTCTCTCTTTTTTTTCTACAATATTCTTATCTAGAAATTACATGAAAATTTTAAGCCTAACATGAATTGATGTATTCATCATTGAGGCTATATAAAGCATTGAGAACTATTGGCAAATCTTGTTACAAGTTGTTGTACTGAACAAGCAATAAAAATTTAACTTATAATATTGAACTTACTATACTTAGCAACATTATTTATCTGGTTTGTGAATATAATTAAACTGTATTTGTGCATTAACTTAAAAATGCTAATATAAACACATACTTTTAATTTAAAACTAAAACATTATTTTAAAGAAAGCAATAAATACTTATTTATCAATTTTACTATATATATAGTATTTAAATGAAAATAAAACAATCCATAATTATTAACCATAATACTAAATAAGTTTATTTTCTGGTGCAGAACATGTATTACAAATAAGCTGGAAAGTATTCTTGAGATTACTGTTTCCATTGCACTGAACACTGGAAAGAAATACCCACTAAGTTATGACACATAATTTGATTGTCAAATATTTTGTAAATTAGCTAAAATGTACATAAGCTGTAGAGTATATATACTTCAAAGATTTGATCAAAAAGACACACATATTACATACAAATATGCTTCCCTAATGACAAGATGACCAAGTAATGGTCGGGGATCATTAAATGATTATATTTATATCTTTTTTAATTTATGTTTATATCTCTTTATTTCTAAACCTTGTAAGTTTAAAGATATTTCAGATGAATTCTGACCTAAATTGACAATCAGAAACTCTTTAAATTAAATCTGTCCTTGCTTATGTTTTAACTGTTAAAATCAAAATATTTTCTCTACGCAGTGGTTAAAGTTTCAATGATAGTGGAGGAAAACAAATGATACCTGTGCTCTCTAAGTTTTTCACAATGCGTAAAAATATTGGCATAGCATACAATGGAAGAAGCTTCTTCAGGTTTTGTGCAAAAGTATCAAAGTCTATAGTACATTTAATATCAATGATAGCACCCATGCCAGCTCTTCCTTCAGTACCTAGAAAAAGAAATATACCCTATAATTACAGATCAAATTAAAAAAACTGAATTTATCATTTCAATATGTCCAACTGATTAAGTTAACCTAACACACAGCAATACAACTTAATCACTTCTCTAGCCTTAGATAAACGAAATAAATAAAACCTCGAACTTGTATAGATGGAGCTACTTACCTAAAAACATAAACACATGAAAATGTTGAGGCAAATAATAATAAAAAAATGTTTTCTGTATCTACAAACTGTCTATTTTCAATTACAGGTTATTTGTATTGCTTTTCTGGCTGCAAATAGTGAAATGGAAAATTTAGATGTGGGACAACTGCTTCTAATGTACAATTTCAATTTTTTTCACACATGAGGCTTATGTTGAATCTAACAGTCCATGCATCTCCATCACTGTGTGGGGCCTATTTTTGTAAAACTCTTATAATACAATAAATACATTATTCCCTCTGTAACCTAGCTTTGTTTGTCTGTCCTCTCATGCAACATCTTTATGCTAGGTTTAGTTGAACATTACCATTAAATGTATGGAGATGGTGTTATGCTATGCTCTAAATCAGGGTTTCACAAAGTGTGGGTCACTCCTGAAAATATTTTATAAGAATAAAATAAAAATTATAGCAATTCTTTATATAACATCACATTTTAATACCTCTTCGAATTGGGAATTTCCTTAATAGTGCAACACAAGATAAAGGAGCATAATCGACTGAAAGATGTGGACCAAAGTTTTAGAAACTGTTTGCTAAAACAAGAGCATAGATCCTAGTTCTTCTTTCATGTCTTTCAGCTGATGTAACAGAATGTTTATAATTCAGAAACTCAGTGTGTTGTTTTATCCCTATCTATTTTATTAATGAAAAGTTTAATAAAGCAGTTATTATAATTTATGGGATTTTTTTTAAGATAAGGTTGCAGCAGAGATGGTACTTTTTATGGTTCTAGGCAAAGGATCATGCCATAAAAAAGTTTATGAACCACTGCTATTGAACTGTTTTATTTTACATTATGTATCTATGTATGTATGTATGTATGTATGTATGTGTGTGTGTGTGTTTGATTACAAGTTTGTTCTCATATAGATAAGTATGATTATATAGGGTCTTGAGCAGGTATAAGTTATTTACATTAAAGCAAACACACAAACATACTATATATACAAACACATCATTTATAACAACTAATGTTATGATAGTACTCAATACTTTGAATGCCTGTCAACAAAGTAAAGATGGTAAATTTGGTTTGTGTATTATTTTTGGTCTCAAATTGTTAGAATGAAACAATTATCTCACGTCAGCTTAGTAGTAAACCACACAGACACTTTACCTGTCTGTATAAATGTAAATAATTTATCACTTACAAATGAAATGCTAAACACTTCAATCTTGTAAGATAATATGGCTTCTCAATGGACTTCTACATGTAATAATTTTGTGATAAGCAAGGCTATTAAAATGTAGTAAGGTTTTTTTTCAAATGCTATACTGAATCTCTGTTGCTTAAAACTGGGGGTTTATTTACCACGAAAATTAATTTAACAAATTATACAGCAACTCTCAGTGTACTTTCACAAATGTATGTTACAGTTTCTGTTGTTCCAAAGGTAAAGAGCAATTACCTGGAATTACAACACCATAAGCTACACAGTCTGTAAGTCCAAGAACTTGGCTGATGGCAGCTTCTACTTCCATTGTAGAAACATTTTCTCCTTTCCATCGGAATGTGTCACCTGTTCTATCCTTAAAGTAGATATATCCATTTTCATCCATCACCATTAGATCTCCTGGTGAAAAAAAACTTTATTCTTTCATAACAAGTTTGCATTAATAATAATAATAATGGATATCTGATTTTAAAACTTATATTCATGATGTAGACCAAGTCATGGGTTTTCATTGAAAAATTTTTATTGTCAAAGTGTTTATACAATTTTTAACAGAGCATAATGTAATAAGAAGAACTGCATTTTTTACCTGCAGAAGAAATTACTATCTAAAAGTTCAATTTTAATAGATTGATATGTGCAAAATAAAACATTCCAACAAGTATGATCGATATACAAAAACCATGATATTTATTATGACTTTCTATTGTAAAAGTATCAAACCAAATATAGATTGTCATTTTTAACTTATTATTAGATATAATAATTAATCTCTATAGATACATAGGGATGCAAATTAAAGTAAGTGTTATGTGACCAAACTAAGGTTTTTTTTCAAATGCTATACTGAATCTCTGTTGCTTAAAACAAGGTCTAACTTGACTATGGTCACATATATATATATATATACACATTATATTTAAAAATCAGCCAGATCATAATTGTTATCATCAATTCATATTATAGGTTTCTTTTTTTTTATCATTACTTTGATCATTAAATGATTTCTTAAGTTTTAACTTGCATGGTACAAGACAGAACGTTACTAAATCTAATATAAATTTTTTATCATGAAAATTTTACTTAATTTCAAAATTACAAGTTCTAATCACTATATTTTACATTTGTAATGTTTTTAAATAAGGTAAAAGTTGTATTAAAATGTGACCAAATCTTCTTTACTGAAAGTTCACACAATAAATATATTTTAAAACTAGACATTATAATGACTGATGCAATAGGAATAAAATCTATACATATAACAACCATATATCTGTGTCTATCACTCTCTGTATATCCTGAATGGTTAATCAGAGAAAAAGAAAAGTATTTATCAAAATGCTTCTTTTCAAGAGTACATTAATTTTTTTTATAATTCCCAGAACTTCATATCAACATCGACCTGTCAGTCTTTGTATGTGATGAATGGTTAATCTCACAAAAAACTTAAGGACAAGTATTGTTGTTTTTTTGTGAGGGAATTTCACACAAAAAATGAGACTATTTCCATCAACCGATTGAAAGAACTATTTTGAAGATAGATGTGTGAAAGAAAAAAAAATGCAAAAAAAGAGAAAAGTGTTTAAGTATATATTTGTTGTTTGGTTTTTATTTTCATACCAGTATTATATACATGCATGATTTTATTGTACCATGTTGAATGACTCAATTTGAATTGAGTATTTCTTCTCTGAAAATTCTTATAGAAATGATAACTGTAGAAAAGTGCTAACTTCGATAGTGGTCTTTTTTTGCACTCAATAAAATTACAAGGGATGGTGACATTCAGCTGAAAAATTCCCCACTACTACTTAGCTAACCTGAGCAGTCTATTGTGTTGGATGCACCCTTTGTATTTAAACCCAAAAAAATTTGCTCACAATGCAATGCAGTCAGTCTCCTTTGCTTAAAAACAAATACAGTGCAATTTTCCTTATTTAAATAACACATGGAATGACAAAATACAGTTGTAAATGGCCCACTACATAATCATATTGCATATACGCTCTGATCCAAGGGATTGAGTTGACACTCATTTTATATTTATTCATCACTAATTTTAGGAAAACTACCGTTGAATTGTTTCAGTGGGCTTCTGCTAGTATTGTCACATTTTCATGATCTTAAAACAATTTCAAAGCACACATTAACAAGTCTTAAGAGTAAGTTGAACTTTTAAGGTTTGTATGGGTAAATTGATGAGAGCCTTATAGCAATACTGACTACTATAGATTGATGAGAATTATCCTGCTAAGTTTACATCAGGTATTAGTGCACAAGTTTTAAATCGTTTGTTTTGTATGTTCATTACAATATGGTTCAAAATAGAAAACTAACAACTTAGTTCACAAGAAAATTATGCTACAATTAGTTAAATAATTAAACAAACTAATACCCGACAAGAATGCTAAATCTCCCATGCTGAAAACATTCTTGGCAACTTTTTTCATTGTTGCTTGTTTATTCACATAACCGTCAAAGTTGCGGACAGGGTCGTTACGTATTATCTTGCCAACAAACTCACCTGGTTCTCCTTAAGAGATGAAAATGTTAAAAAATATATTAATAATGAGGAAATAAGCAGAAGAAACTTTATCAAACATCACTCATTGAAGTCAATTTCTTTACCATACATAACTGAATATTAGAGAAAGTTTAAAAAGTTAAATACTTAATATTTTAGTCTACATTTTGAAATATTTTATGATAATTGTGTGCATTATTTAATTAAAGAAAGGTTATCCAGCAATATAAAACTAATATCTTCTGGTATATGCATGTACTTGCATTTTTTATGATTTTAATACAGTTTCACCTTTCAGGAAACATTGGATTAATGACTCCACTACCATCACCACCTATATCTTGCGAGTATCTGAACAAATAAATTTCTTATGCATGTCACCTCAAACAATGAACACATTCTTTTTTCTCTAATGTACTTACTTTATAATTTGATAACATTTTATCCAATTCTAGATTTTGAGCAAATTATCAAAGTCAGTTAAAAGTTTTGATTTTTATAAAGCAAATACTTGTTTACTTTCTTTGGACTCTGACTAGTTTTTATATTAATTCTTTTATCTACTTGCATGATTAGAATGCCAAGTAAAGCTTGTTAATTGCTTCTCAAAAACACAATAATATCCAAGAAACACTTTTCTGTACTCTTGAAATATTTTCAAAATATTTTAACCTACCAGGCTTACATTTCACACATATACCATCCTTGTTTCTAATAGGTTCTCCAGTAGCCTCGTCAACTTTTATTAGAGTTACTGGGTAAATTGATGGGATAATACGAGAAATGAAACCCACAGCTCCAGTAGTGCTGTTCGTGTTTACTGAAAGAGATATTAAACACTGTTAAACTTTCATCCACAAAAAAATATAACACAACCTTTTCATATGGTGTTTTAATGAAACATTAAAGTTTCTAATTCTGAGTTTTAGAATTTTTGCTTTAGAGGTTACATAATTCTACCAATATGTTTACTTATTTATTGACTAATTTAGTTTTGAAAATAATTAAATTAAACCTAGATTAATGCTATTATTAAGTTGTATAAGTTTGCAATTTTATTTACTTACTTACTCTCAGCTTATGAGAAATAGATATACAAGTTACAGATAAACAACCACCCTATTGAAACTCCACCGCAACTTCTGCTTATATAAGTAAATTTTTTATTACAAAAACTGAAGGCCTAATTCAAATATTATATATATAATACAAAGTGTGAAGAAATCTGAAGATTTAGTAGTTCCTTTCAAACAAATAAAAGTTGTTTCATGGCTGTATGGGTGTGTGTGTGTGTGTGTTGTATTGTGAAACTAAAGATGGTGAATCTACACTTTTTCGATGTCCCATTTTTTCAAACAATATTTTTCTAAGGAAGGTGTATGTTTAAAGTTGTCTGTCAACTAAATATTTCCGATTTTACCTAAATATTAGATTTAATTCATATTTACACATAACTCCTAAAGATACAAAACAATACTTATATACAGAAAATAGCTAATGGGATCTCTATAAACTTTCATAAAATATATAACAAATAAAAAAAAAACAGTTATTTACTGATGTTTGCATTTCCTTCTGAAGATCCATAAAATTCTCCAACTTTCTTGATTTGAAACCTTTCACAAAAGCTTGTCCATAAAGCTGGACGTAGTCCATTTCCAATAACAGTAGAAACTCTGTGCTGTTTTTCTTCGGGTTGAACTGGTTGAGCCATCAAATATCGACAAGTTTCTCCAATATACTGGGCTACCTTGGTGTGTTTAAAGATAAGTTATCTCATCCATCAAAAACTGTTTTCTCATAGCATCTGGTTTACTTCAACAAAATACTTTTAGTTTATGAAACAATCAGATAGAGGTATACACAGCTGCCATATTTTAAACTTATCAAATGAGAGCTTAACATATCTTTAATTGTTCAATTATACTACAAGAGACAGACTTAAAAACACTTGAAGGATTGAGAAGTATCTAAATATACAATATAAGAGTTTATCGTGTATTTTTTTCGCCATGTCTCAATTATGAAGAAATTTAAAATTTTTCATGTGATTTGTTTCTGTGCACTTTGATATAAAATATGCGGTCAAGAAAACCATTGAAATTTCTCAGTTCTAATTACCTTTATGTGTATGTGTCTCTATATCATCAGAAAAGCACCCATTTTGCCCATAAAAATGAGGAAACACTTTCACTGGCTGATAGGGTAATGTATGCAAGTCCAAATTAATGAAAGTTGAGAGAGAGTTATGTGGTGATGTAACTGCAAAATAAAAAACTGGGGTTTTCTGTGTCAGTATGCAGCCTTAGTTTTCAATATTCCACATGGTTTTCATCATGACCAGTTCTTCAGAGATTCATTTTAACAGAAGAAATCCTGAAATTCTAGTCACTGATCTTGTAGAGGAAATTGCATATGCAGGCACACACTTTAAATATTGTTTTCATTGTCTGTTAAATATGTGCAATCTGTTTATTTTTCATGTAACTAAAAAGTCAGTTGAATTTTTCAAATTCATAATACTCTGACATTTCCTGCTCAATCCTCCAATTATAAAACCTTATTTGATACTTGCATAGAAATCATTTAACTTTGAATACCACAATTGGATAGGAAAGAAACATCTTGGTGCCATGACCACAGGTACAATTGTAGTTTTTTTTGTTAACTCTCTCTCTCTCTGTAGTATATATATATATACAAGCTCGGTCAAAACAGAAAATTTTGCAAGCTTTTAATAAGCATTAACTCACTTGTAGACAAAAAAAATTAATTTTTAACGAAGAATTTTCATTAAAACTTTCTCCATGAATATATGATGTCGAAGTCTTGACTGCTCTGAGTACAAAGTGATTTTCATGTTAATATTAAAAATACTTTTCATCTGAAAAATCTCAGATTTCATTTGAGTAACCTCCTAAATAAATTTCCAACATTATTTTTCACTAAACTTTTTATTTTATCTGTTATTTTCTCAACTCTAACTCTATACGAGGTTGATCAATTTGACTGATCTCAGAACCACTAAAAAAAAAATCGAAATAAATCGAAATTACTCTTTATTTTCATAATAAAATGACTTCAAATTGTAACATAAAACTATAGTTGTTTATCCTAAATAGCTTTAAACTCACAACAGTATACACTTCTTCATACTCAGGTTTTATTGCCCATTTAACTGTATCTAATTAGTATTTGTGCCAAATAAGTTTTAAATCACTTGGAAAACGTGTAGCTCATGTTATCCTATTAAATTACATAATTCACAGGTCACTCATGAGTTTACCTCATGTAAAAATTTTTAATTGTTAGTATTTTTATTTATTTCACCTAATCTAACCTTATATACCATAAAAAACTTCTAATTTTTACATCCGAGTTACTTTTAAAATAATAAATAAAGAATACACATGAAAAACAAGAAATAAGTACTTACCTGGGTTTCCTTTTTTTTTTATTGTCAACTGTCAATGACAATTAACCCTAATTTTTTTATATTAATGGTACTACTTCACTAAATAATTTTTTCATTTAATTAAGTAATGCTCAAAAGAATGATAACGTGAAAAAAGGCAGACAATGTATCACAAGTATTACAAGTTTTCTGGCTTTCTAACTATGTGACAAGAGCTATTAAAAATTGGCTAAGCTCATTAATATGTTTCCTGTGGGAATAAAGTTTAAACTGCAAGTGAAATATACAAATCTCTGTACAGAAAACAACATATTACAATACCTTATTTTATAGAAAAAACATTGGCTTTCTATTGGTTTGAAATAATATAGTATTAAACGTCCAAGAGAACTATTGGCAATTTATGAAAGAGGGTGTAATAGTTGGGCATGGCAAGAGGGGTCTGATTTTCTATCTAATGGTTCTAAGCAATGGTTCTCCAAGTAAGATTGAAGGCTATAAAAATTATGCTTTGCATGAGCCATACAACATTATATTGTGTAATTTACATTAAATTTCATACTTCTTAGAGGAGTAGTAAATAAATTGGCAAAAGGAGATGCCTAGAGAGAAAATTTCACAATTCTCATAATAGAGGAATTTCAGGATTTTTTTGTATTTCTTGATAAAATTAAGAACTCAAAACTTACCTACCATTAACATTTGGATTATTAGCTGCGTTTTTATGCCAAATTCACTGATGCAAAAGAAATGAAATGGTGTTCCTTGTTTTTCAAGCTATCAGATGATGCACAGTGTATAATATATGCACTATATTATGTGATTAAAAAGTTAGGACTGTTCTTTGGCTGAGAAATCAATGACAAATGGATTTGCAACCCTTACTTTCCAAGCTATTGCACAGCATTATATTATAGGATTCTCACTTGATCATCAAAAATTAGGATGGTCATATGGTTGAAAAATCAGTGATTGAGAATACCAATTATAGTACATATTAGATGTTAGTTTTCTACTGTATCTATAGTCCTAGATATGATGTTAAAGTAGAACAGTCAACTGTTGAGATAATTGTGAAACAATACTTTCTAGTTACTATAGTCTCTTGGTCACCCTTAGGCAAGGTGTAGCACCCATTAGCCTCCTTTATCAGAGTTACAGTTGAAGCCACAGGGGCACAGGATGTTTGATCATCTCATCTGGTGAATGCCTGGTGCAACTGGGACAATGATAGAGGAGCTCTGTTCAAGATAGTTGAGCACTGCAACCAGCAATATTTTGCCAAGCATAATCTATGGTATTTCATGAATCAAGGAAAAACCACAACAGCATGAAGAGGGTCCCTGATAGAAATAGGGAGGACACCTTGCCCAATAAGGAAAGTCATGTGCAACAGGTGACTCCTGACTGTCAACATACTACTGTCCACACCCAGGTGAGAGCAGGCAATGTGGAATGAGAGGACTCTACATCAAATTAAAAAACTGTTTAATATCAAGCATGAAATGGAGAAATTAAAGACCAATGTTCTAGGTCTGTGTGAAACATGTTAGAAAGATACTGGAGCTATTGCTTCTGCTTGTCAAAATAAAAGCTAAACCTTTCAACATTGTAATAATACAAGTATATTGTTAATACAGCGGAAGTCATGCAATGCTGGAAGCATGCACGCTGGAGTTTCTCGGAGGATCATGAATTTGCCCAGTAACTCTAGTCTGATTGAGCTGCCCTCTTTTTTAATATACAAGCCTGGCGAGAAAAACCAGTGAGGCACATAGATTGAAGAGATAGATAATTGAGTCAAGCGAACAGTAGGCACCATAAGTAAAGTGTGTGAACCACTGTGATTTATAGTGTGTGTTATAAAGGTTGTTAAGTTTAAAGTGACTGTGGAAATTCTGTGTATTACTAAAATTTGTATTGAGAAAGAAAAAACTAGTTTTAATCAAGAAGGGACTTGTATTGCTGAAGTTCCTCTGAAAGAATTTATACCGGAAATTAACAAACAAGCAAATATGCAACAATATGCACCGACAGTTGAAAATGAAAACAAAGACATCGATTATTTCTATGA